AAATATATATCTTTTTAATAGTAAGGTATTTTAATTTGTACTGCTGTTTTCTTTTATGGAAAGAAACACTTGATCAATACCACTTTTTAATTAAATGCCACATTTTAACCATTAACTCATTGTTTTGGGGTCCGGTTTCATTTGGAATGTTTTGTTGCTTTTTGTTCTTCACGCTTTTATTCCTTGCTTTGATATAAAATGCACCTTCATATGTCCCAGAAAATACTGTACATTGATATTGTCATTTCTCTAGTTGGCCAGTTAGGCACTTAAACAAAGATAGTAAAATCGAGATCATTTGGCCTTTTTCTCACCTTACAAGGAGACAAACTGATGAATCCACTTACCAGGTTAACCATTTCTCCTGCCTTTCATTGGAACCTATGATTCCCCTTGCTTAGCCATCTTAAGTGTGGCTGTTTACCTCAGCCGTGATCTATGGTTGCTCCAATGCTGCATTGGGCACTTGTAGACTCTACTCACCACTCTCCTGTTGTCATTGACGACTCACGTTACAAGACATCTCATGGCCAGCAGGTAGCAGAGTGGTTAAGGCTCTGGAATCCACTTAAACTATTGTGGTCCTGGACTTGGTGGCCTGAAAGTAGCGCTAAAATCCAAGTGGAGAATGGAGGAGAAGGGATTGAGGCATGGCCATCCCCCCCAAGAGAGTGATTTCCCACTTTCTCTCTGTCTCTCAAGCAAGCACACCTGCCCTATAGCAAAAATCTCTGAAAAAATAAAGAAAGGAAAGGAAAAAAATCTCTCACACAAGGATTGATATGGTTATTAACCCAACCCTAGTAATGGAAACCATGAAAAGTCATTCAGCAATAATTTAAAAATTAGTAATTATGCAAGAGTGATCTGGATGCGCACTTACCTGCTTTGGGGACAAACCAGACAATAAAGCTCTTTTTTTAGTGAATATTGAGTGTAACGATCACTTGTCCTAAGGATTGATTGCTAGAGGCCTTTGTCATCGCCTTATGTGTTCTAATGAGACTTCTTGTTCTGTAATTCTGCAGGAATGTTCTCGAAGACTGCTTTGGTAGCACCTTTATGGGTATCCTATTTTGGTTATTATAAATCTCTTTTAAAAGATCTTATAAATATAATGATTTCAAAAGATCCCCAATATTAAGTTTGGACAAGGTTGATATTCCCTGGAGTTAACCAGTTTTCCTTTCAGAAAGTTTATTTCTGAATGGAAGTGGGAACAGGTGCCCAAGTAGGAAACAGAGGAAATGGAAATAATTCAAAACCAATAGCAATATTTTCGTTAGGAATATTTTTAGCTATCTCCCTACACATAAGAAAGCCTTTCCATTTTCCCATCTGTTAAAATGGTTAGCTCCGTGAGATTATGGGTACATTAATTTGTTCCATTATTGTAACTTGATTTTATAAATGTACATTTAATAACATGCTGTATACCTTAAATGTACATGATAAGATTTATTTTCTTAAAAAAGAAAGATGAGGGAATATGAAGACCATGAAATGTCTTTAACATTTTTGATCAAGAAGAAAATAAAGGGACCAGCAGTTAGCATAATGGCTATGTCGCTGGACTCCCACGTAGTCGACAACGGTTCGCGTCCCGGACTCGGTGGCTTAAAACTCATGCTGGGTGCATGCGCGTGTGTGCCCAAGATCCTGAGAGGAGAATGGAGGAGAAGGAATTGCGGCGTGGCCCTCCCCACTGGGGCGGGGGGTGATTTCTTGCTTTCTATCTCTCTGTCTCTCTCTGTGTCTCAAAAAAAAGGTAAAAAAAAGAAGAAGACAATAAAAATGTGGTTCTGGCTAATTATGTATTGAAGAAGCATAGGTTGGCTTTTTTTTTTTTTTTTTTTTTTTTTTTAGAGATTTTTGCTATAGAGCATTGTGCACTTGCCATAGAGACAGAAAGTGAAAATCCATCACCCCAGGAGGGATGGCCAAGTGACAGTCCCTTCTCCTCAATTCTCCTTTGGGGATTTTGGGTGTGCATGCACATGTGCCAGGTCTAGGACTTGAACCGCGGTTGACCATGTGGGAGTCCAATGCCTTAACCACTACACTACCTGATGGCCCTCAGAATTTTTTTAACAGGACCCTAAATGCCATCTAGGTCAGTTGTTTCCTATTTTTATAACACTTGGTATATTACAAAATCGTGTTTGAGTACATGTTGTGCTTCATTTTATGGTATGCATCAGTAATTCCATGATTTGATACCAGTCTGAAATGTAATTTGAAACTCTGCAGGTCCTTATCAGATGCTAAGCTTTATTCCAGGTGCTTTACCACTATTAACCATTCAATCTTTTAACAAACTTACGATGTGATCTTCTATAGCAGTTGAGAAATCTGAGGCACAAAAGAAGTTAAGCAATTTGCTGGAGGTCAAACATCTAGTTGGCAGAGACATTCGGGTTTCAGACTGACTCCAGAGTCTACCCTCTTAGCCACTGTCTGGAATACCTCTTGAGGTTATAAAGTTGCGATAAATATATTGTCTACTGATGGATTTGTAGAATATACAATTTTGTTTTCAAAGAATTATTTTCCAAATTATTTATTAAGAAGGATGGAATAATTTTTCTGTAAAAACTTTCAATAATATTCTTATTCATAATTATGTTTGGTAATGAAAGAGCTATGTTTAGATAGTATGACTGTAAGTTTCAATTATTTTTTTAACATTAGATATATAATATAGACTTAAAAATACTTTGTTGGAACAATTTATTCTGCTTTTGTTTGTGAAATAAACACAATTCTTATGGGAATGAAAACAATATCACTGTTACAATGATTAATTTTTTTCTTGTTTGAATGTATTTGATCACCAGAATAAAAGTGTGGGTGTATTTAACAAAGGTGAGCAATATTTATCAGTCACAGGGAAATTATACTATAACATTACATATAAGACTAATTCTTAGTTTATGAATATAAATCCTCTGTATTTGTTTTAATATAAATGATATGGTTCCCATATAGAAAAAATGTAAAAGCATTAATTTTCCTTAACGAATTGAAAGCTATGAGTTGAATCATTTGACAGTGCTACATGTATACAGATAATTAAAGGGAGTCCAGAATTTCCCAACTTCCGTTTTGAAATCTTTCTACTACATCATGTTATTCCTTATAATAAATCATTTTGAAAATGTCTTCATTTTAAGACTCAGTATGTTTTTAACAAAGAGGGTATTCCTTAATTTCCCCAATGGGGGAACTCTTCTACCTGAGGCAGCCTACCTAATATGTGGGCATTGTCCTTTTGTTTTGTAGTGGACTGACCTGTGTGTGTCAAATGATTTAGGTCAGTCATATTGTATCTGTATTTTGAGATACTTTATAGTTGCCAAATAATGGTTGCATATCTCTTGCATGAAAACAATTTAAGATTAAATTTCAGATTATAGAATTATAGATAGAAAAGCAAACTAAAACTCTCAGTGTCCTTATTGAAACACCAGAGAAAAATGGAAGTTCCTGTAAGTGAAGTCTGTTACCTAATACTGCACACTTCTGTGGTTTTTCAAAGAGATTTGACGGAGTAAAAACGCTCATAACTAAACTCTCTCACTAGTCAGAATATATATGTTCTATAATTCTATGTGTTACAAATAATGTTATTTGAAAAGATTGATGAAGATGGAAAGTAAAATTCAAATATTTCTAAATCTTTTGTATAGCATAATAGACGTTGCATCCGCAGCTTTGTAAAAAGTTTATTCATACTGTATCACAAGACATGGGATTGTACCTCTTGCTATTTTATTGTTTGATGATGATAGTGTAATGCATATAGTTTCATAGTTTATGAAAAATCTGCCTTGTGTTAGTGTATGTGTGTATATGAATTTGGCCGATTTATTTGTCTCATGAGTAACACACACGTAACATGCCCAACTTAAAAAATCTTAGCAATAATTTAATTATGATTCTGTTTGAATATTAAGGGAAGTGATTCGTATCTAACAGAATAATGGAAAAACGTTGTGTGGGCAAATACCTTCCCATACACATACATTTACCTTGACAAACTCCCATCCATCCATCCATCCATCCATCCATCCATTTATACATGTGAGTGGATAGGCAGACTGATACGTAATGCTTTAAAATGAATTAAAGTTATCGGTGTGACCATTTCCACGATCTAGATGTACTTGGAATAAAACTGGGTTTAAGAATAAGTAGATATACAAATATATGTGTGTGTTTGTGTGTGTGTGTGTGTGTGTGTGAATCTCATAGCAAGCTGCAGAAACACATGCAAGGACTTTAGTCATTTTGTAGAAAAATGATATTAAAGTGTAAGTTTATTTTGGTGTAAAAAATTTGAAATCCGTGCAGTTACTTTCATTATATATGCTTTTCATGAACTTTTTCGAGATCCCTTGTGTGTATGTGTTTGTGTGTGTGTTTGTGTGTGTGCGTACCACATTTATCTATTTCTATATGACGTTTATGTTCTCTTAAACTCCGAGTTTTATTCCAAGTCTAGAATAAGGAAATAGCTACATGAATAACTGTAATTAATTTTGAGCTGTTTTCTAAAAAACTGAAACACTTACAATTCACTTAGCATTAACATTTGCAACAAAATATACAAAATATTTCAATGTATTACATATTTGTTCAGAACATATCCAATTTTATAAAACATCTGAGCAGAAAAGAAATATTAGCTGGCACATCTTCTGGGTGCTCTATGAACTCTGGAATGTTACCACAAGACCTGTTCTGACTCAGGGCCTTATTTTTTTATTAACAACCACACACACACACACGCACACACACACACACACACAAAGACATGTCGTATAAAAGACGTACAATTCTGAAATAAACATCATTTTGGTTTGTGTCTTCTTTATTTTTGCTATTATTTCATTTAAAAAAGTGACATAATAACCTTAAAGCAAATAGCCAGCTCAGCGCCTGCACTGGCAGACGAGAGGGTTCTCGGGGCTAACTAACCGCCTGTGTATTTTGTCTAGGTGTTGAGGGAAAGCTAAGAGAATGAAGGCTCTAAGTCCCCAGTGGAAGCATGATATGGCGGAGCAGAGCTGGTGCTGAATTGTTCTCTCTGATGGCTCTATGGGAGTGGATAGCCCTGAGTCTCCATTGCTGGGTTTTAGCCGTTGCTGCTGTGTCGGATCAGCATGCCACAAGCCCCTTCGACTGGCTCCTCTCTGATAAGGGACCCTTCCATCGCTCACAGGAATACACAGATTTTGTGGACAGAAGCCGGCAGGGATTTAGCACCAGATACAAGATATACAGGTATGAAGCAAAGGGAAAGCAGTTACGGAGATGTCATCCTTGAAGGTGGTGTGTACGTTTCTCTAAGGGAAAGTTGCAGGTGGGAAAGGGTTATTATCAGAAGGGGGATTATGTTCCATGCACCAAAGTGGTGTTTTCTTGCTATTTAAAAATATTTCTTATAGATGGAATATGTTATGAGAAGAGTATATAATGGCGACCACTTGCGTATCACTCTCAAATTTTAAAATCTTTCGCGACCTTGGAGTAGACGCCAAATTTTTACCATCGGGCAGGCACCACCATGCCCAATGCCAAATTTTTAAATGGATTTAGTGAATTGGTTTTTCTTTCTACTGTATACCAGGCTATGTTACCTTGTGCAGCCTCATGGAAATAGTATCTTCTACTAGTCACAGGGAAGTTGAGTCCTTAACCTTTTTTGATCTAAAAGGTAATTATAAACCTTCCAAAGCTGGAATAAAAAGAAATAGCAGATAAATAGGACTTGATAGCAAAGACCCAGAAAAGGAAGAGGATTAAGATAGATGACCTTTAACTTGTATTACTCTTCCATATTTGAAATCCAAATAAGTTATGCACAAGGAATTATTTATTAAATCCAGCAAAAGCTGCCTGCTCCCCCAAAGCCTAGTGAATCCATTTAATTGAGGAGTGAACAAGTGGTTGCTTGAACGGATTAGACTGTATTGATTGAAACTATAAATAATGTTTTATATCAAGTTATCACTTTCGTTTGTTTGTGATTGAGGTTTATAATTCTAGTGATTGGTTTAGCATTTACGTGGAAGCAGATTTTGTTTTCTATTTCTGTGTGTCTGTATCCATGTAGAACTGTTATATAAAGGTTTTATTTTATGTTCTGTGTGCACCAGAGGGCACTGTGCTTCAGATCTGTATGTAGTCTTTTGTACAACATTCTGAGAAATTTCTAAGTGTTATCAGCACTGTGTTTACAGAAGACACTAAGCATACTGAACAAGTTCCACAAAACAATACATTTTTGTTGCTGTGCTTTTTAAAAAAAATAAGAATCCCTTAGTCCAGACCGCCAAACCACTGTCACTGGTCTAAGAAAAAAAAAAATCTAATTTTTTGTTTAAAAAATGAAATGACAAGGACTAAACATTTCCTTGCTGAAATGTGGCAGAAGCAATCAATATCTTCTGATCCCTGATTGATTCATTTTTAGATGTGTTTTTTCGGGTTAGCGAGGTCTTCACAGATTGTGTGATGACACTGGAATTGAAGATTGTAAGCATGTCTTATACTTCAGTATTCTGCAAGAGGATTTTTAACGGTCTGTCACACGGATGCCGGAGCGTGTCTCCAAGCTGCATTGGCATCTTTATCTGGAGGTCTGAGGTGTCGCTAAGTGTGAGTGTTCTAGTCTGGCTTATCGGTCAATCAGCTGTTCAGCTGTGAGTTGCAAACATGGCTTGACATGTTTGTAGAGGTTCTGGGTTGAATGAAAGAGGCTTTATTTAGATCCCAACATTAACAGGTGATGAAAGAAAACAGTGCTTTGAGGTTTCTTTGCAAGGCTCATATGGACTGTTCAGCGTCTATGGGACTCTATTCCTAGTGACCTTGGAGCTCGGAGTCTTTACCTTGGTGACTTGAATAAACACGTGTGGGTATTATGTCTCCTCACAAGCAATGGATTGAGGTGTGCTGTCCTGTCCCTGAGCCAGGCTGTAGCTTCTTATGAAACCTTCGAGACATTGTTATTGATGCTCTGAACATTGATGGTTGCTGTAAAACGAATAACATGATCTATTCATGAGGGTTCTTTAGTGTTGGTAAAGTGGGATATGTTATTTATCTGGGTAGTATTTTCTTAAATTTTGAAATATGCTATCTACTATCGAGCCACTATAATGGATCCAATTTCTTCTTTAGGAAGTGGAGTTTATTTTTGAAAAGTTAAAAAATTTCAAAACAAGGAATTAGAACATCTTTATTGTATTTTGTTCTTATTTTTGTCTTTAACATTGATCTTTAAAAAGTGATTAGAGACTTTATCTTTCCTATTTCCCCTAAACTATAGAATCTGTGAATATTTAAAATATAGATAGGATTTTCATGTTTTCCCATATTTAAGTACTTGATTTATCATTCTTAAAAGCTGCATAATTTTCTAAACGGAGCAGCAGACTTCTAGTGCTAACTGATATCATCATCAACTTCATCCTGTGGCATGTTGCATGGGCATTGTTTCAGAAAGGCATTAGTTCCGAATGTGAAACATATTACGCCTGTTAAAATAACGAGGTCAGTTGTTTTTCAGTTGTCTTCCTTTATCTCATCTCCCTCCCTCAAGCAGAGAATGGCAAGATCACAAGGACCAAAGATTACTAGGATCCTAGACCTGGCTCAGGCCAATAAACTAAAATGATCTTTTTTGAAAAGGTGTGTTTTTTTTTTGTTTTTTGGTCAACTAATAGGACTTTGTTTTGTATTTTTATTTTAATGTGCACACCAGTGTTTTCAGGTTTCACTTCTGAAAGTGCTTTATGAATTACAACATAAACGATTTATGGGTAGATCAGGGAATCTGAGGATTTGAAATGAGAATGTAGCACTTACCTTGTTATTGATCAAATATTAAAGTTGGGTTTTCAGTTCTCTTTCTTTCTTACCTATAGATTGATAGTAGGACCTAAGAATGTTGCACTTTACGGAGGTGTTCTCACTTTTAGAAAATGGGGTGTTTTCTGGAGAAATTTTGTTCTGTCTGAAACAGGACAGGAGGACACTTGGCCCTTCATATGTCGAAGCCTGTATTCTCAGGTATATTCTGGAAACCCACAGGCAGTAAGCCCACCAGGAAATTGTAACTTTCTCCAGGACCTCGGAATTCTCATCCTTTTATTAAGTTACAGGAGCTTTAGACAAAGGACTTATTTTTAGTGACTCAAACTTCTGTGCGGTTTCTTAAACCACTGATAAGAATGCTAAGGCTCTGATTGTTATTCCCATGAAAGAAAGGTTTTATCTACGTAAATCTTCAGATGTGGTGATACAAAAGCCTCTCTTTTCCTAGGTTCTGCCACGCTTTGGCTAACCACATGTGCAAATGAATCATGGGAAATGGTGGGGATTATTTTATAATCTTTCAAGATTATTTGGAGTTATGTCATGTTACTGTAATGTAGCTTGCTTGCTCAGTGCAATTTCTTCAAAGAGTGCTCCAAATTTGAGTGAGAATAGGAGACAATTGAGATAAATAGTATCATGTATTATACTTTGTAGTCATGTTCTCTAACAAAATTACATTTAAAATATGACTTGGAAAGGATGAGATAACCCAGAAAAAGACAAACACTTCATATATGATAGGATAATCATGAAATAGGGTATGAGAAAAGGTGAAAACTGTTGAACTAGTAGCTCTTCCATATCGGTGTCCATACGAACAGAACAAATGCTGTGTCTTCTTTAGACTGTACACACACATCTATTTCACATGGCATAAGAATCCAATTTGGAAAATCCAAAGTTTTAGGTCTCTAAAGGAAAACACCTTTATGATACTAGGATAAGCATTTAGAAATATTGATCAATTCAGATATATTATCATTAATATGAGTATAAATACTGGTAGCAGATTGACTGAGTCGCCTAAACATGTGTACCCCCCACACACACACACACACACAATCGCACTCAGTATAGTCGTATTCATGAGATTCACAAAACAGGCAGAATTAGATTTCATTGTTTAGAGATGCAATTCTAAAAATGATTAGCAAAATTAAAAGCAACACAAAGAAATGATTATAACAAAAATCAAGAGAGTGGCAATGTATGATTTGGGCAAAGTATGTGATTTTAGAGGAGACAATGAGGAACTTTTAAGATATGGACAATAATCAATTTCTTAATGGGCCGATTGTTACATGAGTGTCCTTTAGAGACTAAATGCATAATTTAGACAATTATCAATATGGATTTTATACTTCACAATGTACCACATTAAACAAGTAATTAAATATTGTGTAAGCTTTGAATTGAAAGACTGCAGTCTTTAAATTAAGTGGATTAATTCTTCCCTTTGAACTAACCACAAATTCATTATGTTTCTAAAACATTTTTAGTTTTTTGTGAGATTTTTGCTATAGGGTACGTGCACTCTCCTGAGAGATAGAGACAGAGAGACAGAAAGCGAGAAATCACCCCCTCCCCCTGGGGGGAAGCCAGGCCACAATCCCCTCTCCTTTATTCTCCTCCTGGGATCTTGGGCACGCATACACACATGCCTGTTGTGAGTTTTAAGCCGCTGGGTCCAGGACTCAAACCGCGGTTGACTATGTGAGAGCCTATCAGTGTAACCATTACAACATCTGCTGGTCCCTATAAAAACATTTTAAACCTGCTTAAATTCCATAGAAGCCTTCAATGTTTTGAGTGCTATATGGCCCACTGTATTTAGTGTCTTAATATTTATAAATGCATTGACGGGTACAAATAAAATTTCGGCTTGTTTACGAACACCTATAGATTTTATTTGTATTGTTTTTACTATGGCTTTCCAGAAAGTTGATGGTATTATTAGAGTTTGTTCATTTCATGAAAGACAGAGGAAGAGAGACACCCTCATCTGGGTTTCATCCCAGACTTCTCAGCCAGCCAGGATCATAGGCACGTATGTACCCAGTATGTACACATTCACCCGGGAATTGAACCCAGATCTCCCATCTGGATCTGGCATCAAAGAGGGGTATGTTACCACTGTGCCACTGTGTCTGACCTTGATGCTAGTATTGTAACAACTTTAAAAAGCTAATATTGGGGCCAGTAGGTGGCATGGTGGTTAAGGCACTAGATTCCCACATGGACTACTTATGGTTTGAGTCCCAGACCTAGCAGCTTGCTCTCTCACTTTTCTGCCCACCTCCCTCTCTCCGTCTGCATCTGGTGAGTGCATGTATCCTTTAGCAAATTAAAAGCAATAATAATAAAATAAGTAATTCTTTTTAAAAAGTCAATATGCAGAG